TTAACAACTCTGAGCTATTAGTTAAGTTCTCCCCAAGCGAGCTCGATGGGCCGAATGGCCTCCTCTCGTTTGTATAGTTCTTATGTTCTTATGTTCTTATATCTTTGTGGGGACTGTCCATTCATTTCTATGGGCAAAACCCAAATCCCAGCAGTGTCACCCTTAACCCCTACCCAGTCTTAACATTTGGTCCCCACAATGTAACATATACCTGTACCACACACACACACACAACTGAAACCTTTCCCAATATAATTATACCATCCTGTGTATGAGGCAGCCAGACCAAACCACGCCAGACTCCGCCCTCAACTGCATTAAAGTGATGTGATTGGCTAATGAATGAGTTTAACCAAGACCCCATTTGTCATGCTGCTAAAGTAAATGCATGTTACAGTAAATTGCGATTTTCAATTTTACACATCATTCTAAAGCAAAAACTCCAATTAATGGAGTTAATTTGTCTCTCAGCTTGTGTGTGTGCAAGTAAGTAAATGATTATACAAGTAAAACTGCAAACTCAATGTTAAAAAGTTAAATTAATGTGTGTAGTTGTGCTGCTCCTTTAATCATGGGAGAGAGGTCGGTGATAATATTGTTCACTCTACTTATTTGCTTGCATTATGTTTTTAATTTATTAAAACCTGTTTGAATGCGGTATGGAAATCCGAACAATTCAAGACAAAATATACGCCGTACGTGGGGCACAATGGAAAGGTGCAGCCACTTTTTAAGTTGTAGGAAAATACATGGTTTGTCAGAAACATGTTTGGGACATTCCTGCCGAATTATCAGATCAGTATTGCAAATTATCGATCTGTGTCGACCTGTGTCACTGTATAACAACACAATGTAGGACTATATACTTTACAGCACAGGTTAAGCAATGCCTGTTTCTAAGTGGTGCCATCTAATGTAAAATAACCCTTGGAATATCCTGCACTTTTTTATATGGGGTCCACAATTTGAACTAGTGGCAGAACAGAAAGTGCGTTAGAGATTATTGATATCGCCTGACCTCACGCTTCTCTGGCTCCAGTTTCTATGCTCTGTGCATGATGTGTTTAATGCCTTTACGGTTTGGGGTGTGTTGTACACTCAGTGCTTCGCATGTGTAGAAATATCAACAGAGCCTTAAAGACTCTAGAGTCACAAACTTGAGTCCCCATCTCTGGAATAAACCAGAATTCACACAGGATCTGCTGATTAGTTTTTTTTCTCCTCCTGGATCAGATCCTGTTTGCAGGCCATACACAGAGAGAGAAGTTTCTACAGGTGAGTTTATACCCTGTCTGGTAAACATGATTCTGCCCCAGTATGATGCCTACATTAGTTTGATTTATTTTACCTGCTACTGCTTCTCAATCATAATTGTTTTGGCAGTACGTGGTCACCACAGTTTGTACAATATCAGCTGATTTGCTTGTCTTTACCAGGGTCAGAAGACAACCAAGATTCTGTTGAAAACCATGCAGGTGAGTTTATACCCTGTGTGATAAACATGCTTCTGCCCCAGTGTATAAGCTGCTATCTGTATCCAGTTTATCTGATTCCTGTCTCTGTATGAATAGTTATTGACTGAACCTAGTTCTTGCCATGAGACATATTAAACATGACACACCTACCTACAGTACCTACCTAATGGTGGATTCTTAATATTTACATGCTACAGCTTAGTAATGATAATTACCAAGTCATCACCATGATTTTTTGGGATTAAATGGTCCCATCCGTAAGACAAGTGACAGAGTGGGTTCTGACCCATCAGCAGGGGGTGAAGCTGTCAGAGGGTCATGCTGGTGATGCAGCGCCCCCCAGTGCCCGCAGCTCACAGCAGATACACACTCCTCATAGCCTGGCCTTCCTGCGCTATTAGCATTTAGCATTTTATGAGTCGAACTGGGGGCGGCATGGTGGTACAGTGGTTAGCACTGTTCCCTCACACCCCTGGGACCCGGGTTTGAGTCTCCGCCTGGGTCACATGTGTGTGGAGTTTGCATGTTCTCCCCGTGTCGTCGTGGGGTTTCCTCAGGGTGCTCTGGTTTCCCCCCACAGTCCAAAGACATGCTGAGGCT